ACCCGCACGGCCTCCCCCGCAGCCAGCGCAGCGGGGCCCCGCTCACTGCCGGCGTTTCCAAGCGCCTCCGCACACGCAGCGTGAAATCACGCTTGCCAGGAACGACTGCTGGCCCCAGCCACGAGCACCGCGGGAGGGAGAGAGGGGAGGTGCTGGACACGGCAGCAAGGGCCACAGGGAGGCTTTGGTAACGTGCTGGACCCCTGCTGAAGGCCATGCCTCGATCTGCGGCTCCTGGTGAGGAGATGCATCCCACAGCTAACCAGCATGTCACAGCAGACACCGCGCCAGTCCAGACCACCACGGCTTTAAGGCTTCCAGATGCCAAGTCAATCTGCAGACGGGTCCTCCGAGATACCACCCTGCTTCCCCAAGCCTCCAAAACCAGACCGAGCTCAGTGCAAAACCGCCTGCTCCACATCAACGCGTCCGCGGGGACAAGAGCCACGGTCACGTCACCACGCGCGTACCTTGGCACTGGGTATCCTTCATGGCGGGCTCGTATCCGGCGGCACACGTGCATGCTCCCACGGGTACCATCCACTCGCCGTCACCGTTGCAGTACAGCTTCAGGGGGACAGACACCTCCACCGCGTTGGGGATGCAGGTGCCCGGTGCGATGACCAGAGAAGTGGGCTCAGCCCCCGTTAAAGTCTCCGGGAAGATAGCAAAGCCAGCAATGGTGTTGGAGCATTTCTTGTAGAAAGCCCGGACGGAGATGAGGGACATGCAGGCTCCCAGGTCCTGGAAGGCCAAGTAAAAGCCGTTCTTGGAGAGAGGGCCAAAGCTGCGCACCTTGGTGTTCACGCGGCCAGACTCCAGCTTGGAGAAGCTCTCGTCCGGGGCAATTGTATCCACTTTGATATAGGGGTTCTCCATCCAGAAAGGGCTGTTCGCAGAGGCAGAATCCGTATCCGACTCGTAATAGAAGAGGTTGAAGGTCTCTTTGCAGGAGCCAGGGATGTTGGGGATGCTGTTGCAGTCCCGCACAGTGAACTTCAGCTCCACGTAGACGCGCTGGACGTCCTGGCGCTGGATGAACTTGGTGCGAAGCCAGTTGTTCTGGCTGGCCTCCCGCACGTTGCACACCTGGTACGTGCGGATGGGGTTCATGGCCTCGTCGTAACCACTGACTTCTTCCCACTGCGAGCAAGAGGGGAGCGGGTTAGGACCCCCAGCCGGGGAGATTGGTGCCGTGGACACATCACGAATGGCACAGGGCGGGGGGGACTGGGCATCAGTCAATGGGGAAGAGCAGCAGCTGCACCTCCACCCGTCCCAACCCTCCCGGTCATCAAGGTGACTAAGAGTGACCCGGGCCAGGGACCATGGCGCTCCTGCTCCACCGGCACGGAGTCGGGAGGAGACGGTTTCACGAGGCGAGAGGATAAGCAGGGGAGGGAAGGGGGAAGACGCAGCCAGCTCTACAAAGGTGCCAGCGAGCAGCCCCGATTCCTGTGGGGCTGGGGCCAGCAGTGCCATTCGGTGAGCTGGACTGGAGCTGGCTCCAGACTTACCCCTGTCTCCGGATGAGTTGTCCATGCCGCAAGAGGGGAGCGGGTTAGGACCCCCAGCCGGGGAGATTGGTGCCGTGGACACATCACGAATGGCACAGGGCGGGGGGGACTGGGCATCAGTCAATGGGGAAGAGCAGCAGCTGCACCTCCACCCGTCCCAACCCTCCCGGTCATCAAGGTGACTAAGAGTGACCCGGGCCAGGGACCATGGCGCTCCTGCTCCACCGGCACGGAGTCGGGAGGAGACGGTTTCACGAGGCGAGAGGATAAGCAGGGGAGGGAAGGGGGAAGACGCAGCCAGCTCTACAAAGGTGCCAGCGAGCAGCCCCGATTCCTGTGGGGCTGGGGCCAGCAGTGCCATTCGGTGAGCTGGACTGGAGCTGGCTCCAGACTTACCCCTGTCTCCGGATGAGTTGTCCATGCCAACTCAGAGGTCACCCACTTCGTGTCCATCAGGGTCTCTGGAGAGAGAGGGAGGAGAGAAAGAAGTAATTGGAGACGGAGGCCAAGATTAGAGGGAAAAAAAAACAGGAGGAGTGGGGGTGAGGAGAGCCGAGCCTGACATTTCTGTGGAAAACAGCAACTTGGGGGGTGAGACGTGGTGGGAGGAGGGGAGAGCGGCGCAGACAGACTCCAGATTTCTCTCCTCCCGTCAGGAGAACAGGAAGAGCGAGGCGTCCCCGGAGAGCCGCGCCGGAGCAGGGAAGCGGCAGGACAAGGAGCTGGCCAGGTGGCGAGGGGGGACGGGGACCGACTGCCGCCCCCGGCCACCGGCACGGCCAGCGCGGGGGGTGCCCGAGGAGGGAGACCAGCCCCCCCGGCTTTGGCAGGGCGCGTATTTACTGTGGCTGGGGTTGAAAGGGCCCGTTCCCATGACAGGGTGGTGCGGGCCAGGCAGGTTTATCCAGAGGAGGAGGGACTGGCAGGCTGCTCTCCCAGAGACGCCCCACATCACTCATTTTACAAGAGGGGAGAAGAATTTGACCGTCTGGCCAACATTCCTGGAGCAGACTACAAGACAAACCACCCCGGCAGCATTCCCCAAACAGCCCCAGCCCCAGCCTTGGGGGAGCGAGACGCTTGTCTGGGAAGAGCTGCAATTGCAGGCAGCTGTCGCTAATCCCGGGCAGAGCCGCACGGCTCCGCGCAAGCACCGCGCGCGAAACGCGAGGACGGAGAACGACGAC